TATAGTTTAATGCATGAGCTTAATTTTAAAAAGAGCAAGGGACACAAATGCATTTTCTCTTCAAAAACTGAGGTGCAAGCCTCACGGCATCGACGCACAGCTCTTTGAAAAAATTCAATTATATGACTGGTACTAACAACTACAATTCCAAAGCTCAAATATAAAAAAAGAACCAAAGTTCAAGTTTAAAAGATCATAAAAAAATAAAACATACTCAGTAAGTCGTTTGATCTTGCAATACTCAATATAAACAAGAAGCAATTTGCAGCATTAAAATATAAATTCTCAGAGAAAAAAGTCAAGAAATTTCTCTAATGGGATTGCGCTGCTCAGTTGAAGGCTGGCTGAAGGCAAGAAAGTCAAGGGTTAAGCTCAAGTAACATTGATTAAATGGGGTAAAAAAGAATACAAAACAAAATCAGTGAACAAGTGCAAGGTGCGACTCAGTAAAAATAAATACAATAAAAGAAATCAACCCGTGCAATATCAATCTAGAACAGAAAATTTGAAAGAAAAAGTAGGGAAGAATATAAAAGCAGATAGAGAAGACAAAAGAAAGAACTTTACTCCGTTGGAGAGACCGAGAGAGGAGATGATTTTAAGCTGGGTCTCGTCTGAGTAACAGTAAGGGAGTATTACTCCACCTCATAATATCAGATTTCGATCCAAATTTAATTTTTTTAAAAAAAAAACCTTATCACCTGAGGGGAAAATCCGGTTGCTTCTTCGCAGGGACGCACTTCTTAAAACTAAGTGCATAAGTATTTAGGCAAATAAATACACTACGATTTTTAGATGGGAAGCCGTGACATTCATAAGTTCTCCCCTCCCCCAAGGTCCTTCCCTGCCCTCCAGGCTCCAAGCCTCCAACAATGAAAACACACTTTAAAACATAGTAAAACAAAAGAAAAGACGTAAAGGCAGCCATGGCCCAAGCACCAGTCGTCGCCAACCCTCATCAGAAAATTCCAAGATTTCCAACAGTTGTCACTGCTCACTCTCACATGTCACTGAATACTGGATGCTGAATAGAGCCATCCAAACTCAGTTTTCTCACATAGTTTCTCGTCGTTTTAGTATATATCACATGTTTTTCAAGAATGTTCAGCTTTTCATGTTGTGTGCAATTGCAGGTAATCCAGGTATACATGCACGGCAGGATGACTTAGAAGAAAATGTAGATTAAAGAACAAGAATATAAGAAGTGAGACACTATTAATCAATGAAGAGGATGAAAAGATTTGATTTGTAATGATCGCCTTTAATAAAATTTCTTTTAATTTGTTCATCATGCTCAAGTAGTGCAAATCTAGACTCTTATGCTTCTCATCTTTAATTCTTTAATAAGACAAACATAACAAGAAAAGTGACCTCTCCGACTCTCCGTCCCTATTCAATCTTCCCTTTTCCGATTACGATATTAACCAAAGTTATTTTAAACTCAACTAATATTGGTTTAAAATTAGAAAATAAAACTTATTAATTTGAGAACTACATAAAAAGTTTTATTAACCAAAGGGTGATGCCTATTTATTTGAACAAATGATTGAAGAAAATAAGAGAGGAAAAAGATATAGCTTGTCACTGAAAATTGTAAATAGGAAGACTAAAAAGGGAGGGAGGGAGTATCATTTTTCAATTTTCTACACTTTGCTCTCTTTGTAATTTGTATTGGGTGTAGATGATGTAATGGAGGTGTAAGGGAGAGTATCATTTACCCTTCTATGGGAGGAAGTTAATTAAAAAATTTGAAGGTAAATGCATGAGAATATGGTATAACACTATAACCTCCTTACACTTCAGGGTGTCAATTCTCTTGCACCCAAATTTGGGGTGTAAGCAGTGGCAAAGAGAGTGAAATCGTGAAAATCCAAAATAACCCTAGACACAGAGTATAACCCTAGGCTCGTGTTTCCCACCCATTCTTCTTTGCTCAACCACTTCCTTCTGGCACAATCTTCAGGTGAGTGATTTTCTATTTTATTTCAGTTCAATTTATGTCTATTGTTTTTTAATCTTGAATTGTTCAAATTGTTCTAATTTTTAGTTCGAGTTGTATAGTTTTTGGTTCAAACTGTTTGAATTAGCTCATGTGGTAATGATTTAGCTTTATTGTTAGAATTGGCACTTTGGTTTCTTGTTAGCACGTATTGTGCATGTGCAGTCTAGTTAGTAGTTACCAGTACAAAACAATAAATTGTTTAGTAGTAATATTATTTGTGTTGCTTTCATGGTTAACTCTTACTTTAATAGTATGATTACACTTACTTTTAACTTGTATGCCAACAAGGTTTAGGCAAGTAGCTGTACCCCTAAAGCACATTTATTTACATCCTTTCTCCACCGCATAAAGCAGTGTCCTAATATTTTCATATACCAGCCACATTAAACATAAATTAGCAAACATAGAGCAATTATGATCATGGCAACGCACAAGGCGAACATTATCAATAAGAATCCGAGAAACAGAGTGAGTTTTAGCCCTTAAAGCAAGTAAATAGTAATTTCAACTTGGACACTAATTGGGCTCTAGTTCTAGAACCACTCAGGACATTGAAGATTTATTACAATGTACTTGAGTTTTCTTTCTCGGATGTCCCACAATATGTCTCATTTCCTTTTAAGGAAAGTGTTTTGTACTCTAATTATTACTCTCTCCTCTCCATAAATAACCACACAATTTCACATTTTCCTAAACTCCATCAAAACGTAAATAGAAAGGTCTTTGGGGGGGGGGAGGGGGAACATACCTGCTGAAGCAAAGCTATCCTCTGGTTTGTTGCAGCCATCACCACAGCGCAGAATGGGAACCTTGATGCCTTCAAACTGTTGCACATTTTGAATCCTTCACTTGCTCTTATGCTACCACCCCAAGACACAAAATTCTCATTCACAAAATCAACCACGGCCTGGTTACATAGTGTCCTCTCACAGAAAACAGGAGTGTCCGGATGGTCAGGAGAATGCAAGTAGACAAACAAGAGCTTATAAGCATGCCTGGACCTCTGCAAAGCTTCCATAAAACCATCTGCGATGAAGTTTGGCCTTGTGCTTCCAAACCCGGCCTCGAAAGCATCTATGAAAGCCATTGCTTCCGAAGCCGAAGGCGAAACAGACAACAGCTGGGTAGAAGATTGGCCATTGCGTCCTGAATTGAAACCTATAATACCCAAAGAATAGGAAAGGACACCACTGGCGGCCCACATCCCTAACCCAATTGCACCAGAAACCAACCCGAGACCACCAGAAATGATAGAAAATGGAAGCGTAACGAGTTTCCAAGCCAGTCCAGGGGGTCCACCACTGCCTGCGGCTGCAGCCCTTCCAGTCTCCTGGAGGTCTTGGGGGGCATCCGTGCTGGTCGAGGTTAGCACTTCAGAGGTCGTCGCCTGGGCTCCGGAGGGATGGTTGTCGGATAAAAACGCGGACACCGCGAGTTCGAGATCCCATCCATGGGCGGCGAGGATCTCCGTACACAGCTCGGAGTCTTCAACCCCAGTGATCGCTTTGAAATGCGCCAGTTTATCAGCCACATCCCCCATGGCTACTCCCAGTACACACAGTGTGTATTTGCAGGGGAATTAGGGTTTTGATTGCAGAAATGACTGCAAATCCCCAGATTGAAAGAGTGTTAAATTGGGGTAGATCGATGGCGTATGGGACGGTGAGATCAGTCCCGATTTGACAGAAGAAATGACTCTCTAAACTTGCGGCGACGCTTTGGGTAATCCGCCGTCGATCATCATTGGTCGGTGTTGTTCCGGTCTTTATCGATAAGTTTTCAGATTTCCTCTACGGCGTAACCACGTCCCCATGCTCCATCATCTTGCCACGCCAGCCGAAAAAGAAGTTGGAATTTTGAAGAAAAAAAATTCTAAAATAGTCTTTTCTAATAAGATGTTTTTCTAAATTAGTTTTTAATAAACAATATTTTTTGATATGGTATTTTATAATTGAGATGTATTCTTTAAATAATCCTTACACCCAAAAATGCCTATTAAGTGACAATTAAGTATAAGTTATTTTTATATTTTTCATCATCAAAACTATGAATAAGTTCTTAAAATGATCATTTCAAATTAAGTAAGTGAATGCTAGAGAAACGGACCAACCCTAAATAGGCTCATGGACTCCATTTCAGGAAAAAAATTATTTATAAATTATCAGTTTAGAAAAATACTTAATTATAAAAGAGTATTTTGAAAAATATATTTTAAGTATAGATGATAGAAAATATGTAAATACCTTCTATTTGACCAACATTTAATAGACATTTTTTACAGAGGACCATTAAGAAAAATAAATTTAAATTATAAATGATAACGCATGTAAATGTTGCTTATTGAAGACTAATTTGGAAAAATATCTTATTAGAAAGAACCATCTTTATAATTTTACTCTAGAAAAACATCAAAAAATTTTAAAAAAAAAAAGAAATCTCCTTGGATAGGACTAAAAAATAAGAAAAATACCAAAATAGATGTTTTAAGTCTTTTAACGCCAAAATAAGAATATAATGACAGCGTAGTGTAAGAGTACGTGTTGGTAATATGATGGAAAAAGTAACGACAATGTAATATACTCCGTATCAGTTAATTAGTCAACCGTTGGCAATCTGCGGCGGCACTCTTGTGACCGGAGGCGACGTATGATAATGTGGTCTTTACATTGTGACAATGTGGTGAGTCTGACAGTGTAAGAATGGCAGTGTCAACTCTTATTTTGGTTTTAAAAGACTTATGACTCTTATTTTGATAGTTTTATAGTTTTTTGCTTCTATATAATGAGTTCTCCGTAAAATAAATTTTAAAAAAATTGTAAAAAAAAACTGAAAACAACTTTAAAAACTAGAACGAATTGGACAATAACTCTAAACATTGAAAGAAACTACAAAAATTAGAAAGACTAAAAAAAGGGAGAAATAATTAACTAGAAAAAAGGACTTGGAAATTATTGGAAAATAATGAAAAATGTTGAAATAAATATTATACTTTTGAAATAACAAAAATAAAAAATGAAAATTGTTAAAATAAATATTATACTTTTGGAATAACAAAAAAATGAAAAATGTTTAAATAAATAGTATACTCTATATATTTCAACTCTTTCAACATCCAACTCTCTCTAGCTTTTTCTAACTTTTTTCATTTTATTCTAATTTCTTCTATTTTTTTAATTCTTTCCATTTCTTCCCAGAATGACTTTACAATATTATTTAAGTACATTTCTCATATTATTCTTATTATAATTGTTATTACTATTATAGTATTATTATTATATTATTATTATTAAATGAAGAGGTTAAAATGCGGAAGAAAATGCAATAGACTAAGGGGAATATACCTAAATAGGAATAAAACATAAAGACTTTCTCAAAATAGTACCATATGTTTTTATTTTTGAATGTAGGACCATTGGTCATTATCCATTAGTCATTATTCAAGTAAATGTCCACCATCACTAGATATTATTCCTCTCACTAAACATTATTAAGTACTATTTAGGAAATAAAAAGGTTTAGTCCTACATTGGGAAATAACATATGTTTTAGTCCTATTTAGTACAAATTTTACATAGACTAAATAACTAACAAAGACGGGAACTTGAAACAACCAAAGAAGTGTTTGAAGGTCCTTGAGGTAACCAGCTTGGATAAATTTGGTATTCACATTTATGTGGTTAACATCATCCCTATACACCATAGATTGAGCTTCGGTCTTCCCTATAAGACCAAGGAAACAAAGAGGAAATAATGAGTTCACAACATTGTTCCAAGGTCTTAAAGGAGAGTTACTAGATGTTCCAATGCCAGCCATATTGCCGTTTGCTTGAGCGACTCTTAAGGTGAGCACCTGAAACGTTTGAAGTTGTCCATGAGATGAAAATATTGGAACATTTTCTACACAAACAATTTTCTATGCATAAAAGTATCTCTTACCTCAGTTATAATAGAAGGATCTAACAAAAACCAACAAATGCCACAATCTAATACTCATTGAGAATATTAAAAGTTAAAATGCTGAAATTTCAAAGTAATAGATACTTCTAATTTGTGTATCAAAAAAATTGTATTAATATAAAATGGAAAATATATTTAGAGACTTAACTAAAACCTGAAAATAAACTCTAAAGAGTAGCGATTAACATACATTTTTTCGAGCATATGGAACAAATGAAAAATATGTGGACTGTGTCAGGCTCACGACTTATCAGTAGCTTAATCGCGATCCTCGCCGCCTTTTCAAGTCTCAATAGAAGAATCCAAGAACCTCCAAATACTCCGTATGAAAAAAGCCAAAGGCCCAAAATGCATGGAAGGTGGGTAGGTGTGGCAGGTTAAGATCCCTCGAACGAAATTTTTGTCAATTTTAAAACTTTTTCAACGCAATATTTTTTCTGGAATAAAGAAATACTATAGACAAAAATGCCAAAGTAGAATAAATATTATTTGAGGAATTGAATGTGTATTGAACAAACTTTGTTTTAATACCAAGTTTTCTAAAAGAATTCATTTTTGATATTGTTGCAAGGGTTTCTATTATCATCTAAAATCAATATTTTAATCCTGTCTTTGTCTTCACTCGTGAAATGGTAATATAAAGCTAACCATGAGTAAAATCAACTTGGTTAAAAAAAATACAACCAATAACAATGTTTGACCTTGACTTTTGTTGATATTAATTGTAAAACATAAGACTATTGAGAATTGTCTTCTCTAGAACTTCTGGGGTAGTCTTGAATCAGATGGTACCAAATTCATCTGGGGTATGTAAGCTTTTCCCACAACTCGATTTCCCGAAACTATAATAGCACCGTTAACGTTTTTTCATAATTCTTCAACGATTAGTCTATACCATTACACAATCCAGATGTTTGGTCAATGTTCCTGAATAACTTAATTGGTACCCCTTTTTAAAACTATTTCTTGGTTTGGGATCCCCGAACATTTTATTTTATTCAAAAATTCAACTGTTATCCAATTGTCATCAACACCTACATCTGATTCTGTCTAACATGAAAAATTAGAACTCAGACACACTATTTCATCTCTGAAAATGAGAGATAGGATAAATTTATTTACTATTTCTACAACCTCAAGTGTGGATGCCAATAATGCACTATCCTAAAAAAAGAATAACTTTGTGTATTCTCCAATATAATAGGTTTAGATATGTGAAGTCCACTACGCTCTTCAGGGGATAATTTGTGACTAGAGTCAAGAATTCGAGCAGAATTTCAACGTCAGCTGTTCTATCAATCACTTATTCAAAATTTCCATCTTTAACTTTGATTATCAAATAAGAAAAAGCTTGTGTGTTCCTATCTACGCAAGAGGATGTAGATAAATATAATCTCATATTTTTTGTCAAGGTATAAATTTTACAATACGACCATAGTTTTGAAAAATTGATGGTAGCACCTATAATTTCTTTTCTTGAATCTCTGGTTAAAACAAGAAGAATTTGCCAAAAATTATCTCATTTTCCCCAGTGAATATAGATGACAGAATAATCTATTGACCAATGGCTGCCAATTTGGTATCAACTCTAATCACAACTTCTTGTATGCTACTCATAGTTTCTCCTCTATCTGGATCCTGCTTGACCACACCCACTGGATTCTCAATGCTTCAATGTAGATTGGACAGAATCATTCAACAAGCCAACCCCTCCCTGCCTCACATTACTCAGCAGATCATCTCCACCGAACTCATTACTAGCGTCTGCCAGTCCTAAAATGTGAACAAGTGAGGAAAAGATCTCGTGCCTCGACACGAATTGGTTTTCCTGCACGGGCGTACGTTTGTCTCAACATGTGATATAACAGTTCAAATTGAACATAAGTTATAGGACCGTTTGGTATAGTTGTTATAAGCTGTTGAATTGCCAATAAACAAATGTGGTTTTGTGCATCATTACATATTTACCTCAGCCTCAACTATGTAGTGTGCATGTATCTTAGCCTCATGAACTTCCATGCATCCCTTCAGTATATTTAACCCAAAACCTCGGATCATATCTACTATCTCCAGAAAGAAACCTTGTTCTTGACAGAGAATCTGGAACAAAAAGACACCAAAACCTGTAATGAGAAGCTACAACAATGCTGAATATGAAGGTTTTGATTTGGAAATGTAATAAGAAATGAAAACTCACCCTGATAAGCATTTGACCTGGATGACTAAGGTCCTCAACCACCAGCGGACAAATCATCATTTCATTTTCAATTTCACAAGCCCGTGCGACTCCACTAATAATGTTCTTGAAATGATCTTTCTGATCCTTCCTATCCTAAAGCCCAAATTAGATGAATAAGTAGTATTGATCAATACGCCAAAAAGACCAGATTGGTATCTTAATCTGGCTTATGAGCACAGTAATATTATAATATGCAAAAATAGATGTTACCCAACACTTTATTGAACCGTTCTAGCCAAATAACATTAACGAAACAAACTTCATTTTTTTAATTTTTTTTGAAAAGTTTACCTTTAGTAATTGATGTTTTGCCAGTCCCTTAGCATGTTTTGCAACACTTCGCAAGAAATACATCTGTTTTATGGTTCGATGTAACAAACGATCAATGCTCATCTGCATGCCATCCAAAGAAGCCATAAGTTTATTAAAGTTTGTCAATTAAACTTTTCAAAAACCAAGATTTTTTTTAATTGAGGTTACCTTATCTCCATTGGGAATGAGTTCTCTCAGCTCTGCATAGCACGCGTATGTCAACATACGGTCCTTTGGAACAGATCGAGAGCCTGGTTTAGTCTTTTTCCTAAAACGAGAAGGCTTCATCATATTAATCCCTGGTAAAGGACTCTCTATACTCCTCCTCCTTTTAGTGGGTGACGATGATAACTCGTAATTGAGACCTCCTCCGGGCACGTTATTAGATGATCCTTCCATTTTTTCGGAGCCCACCGAATGGTCTGAGGTCCACCCTGAAGTAGAATTAGTACAATCCCACCAAGAAAGATCACTTACTCGAGAAACACCAATTGGTTTTTGAAGCAATTCAACCAAACTTTCGAAATCATCACATGAGTTGTTAATACTCAGACTCTCCAAGGGATTCTTGACTGTGTTTGAAAGGGGTGAACCATGAGACACCATTTGAGGCGAGAGAGTTTCCAGGAAAGATGTCACATAAGAATCATCTAAAATGGTGTTTGAAAACGGAGAGCCCCGAGAACCGGGAGGCGACTGCTGCAACAGAACATCAAGTTCATGGATGTCGAAACCGATTTCGTTCTCGTTGTTGATCTCATCTGGGAAGGATTGAATCGTATCCGTCAATAGATTTCGGTTCATAAGATCTCCACTCCAATGGGTTTTGGCTGGGCTCATGAAAATGGAATTGCTAATTGGTGAAAGATGATCAAACCAAGTTGGATCATGGAATGAAGACAAAGTTCCAGGCAAAATTGTGTCATTTCCCATTTCTTGAAAGAGTAGTTCCATTTCATCCGCCATTTCCAAAATTGTATGTAGAGTTCTGAATAGTTTGGGTACATCATATATGCTCAATATTTGAAAATTCTCATAAAAACCTTATAGTGCAAAAGATAATAAAATGAACCAATTTAATTTCCACAAAAAGCATGCGTGGTGCTTAAGGCTAATTAATCATGATAACAATAAATTATTAATTGCAAATATAATTAAATGAGGCAATCAACTAAATCTTCCTTTTTCTTTAATGAATATATACGTATGACATAAACTTCTAACAACAATACAACATTAACCATGCCAAAGAAAGCTATTTTCTCTATTCCATATTAATTGTTTATTAACACTTTCTAGATATATTAAAAAAAAGAAATGAATGCAGACATTCTCTGTGTTTGTATTCATTCATTTTTCAATAATGTATCTAAAAAGTTATAATAGACATTTAATATATGATACAATTTGATAATAATTGGTCTTAATAAATAATGAAAGATATATCCCTATATATAGACATTACAAGAGAAAATTCTAATCTAATTTTTTAAAATAAGAATATTCAAAAACTAAAGCAAAATATACGGCCACTTGATCATGACCTGCATGATGATTTTTTTAAGAGACGGGAAAGTTTTTTTCAGCTTCTTTTTGTGAGATACTCCGTATGCATTACCTTTGTCCTATAAAAAAATTTACTCTTTTCTTTTCCATTTGTTCGGAAAAAAACTTCAATTTCTTTTTAAGTAAAATAATGGGCTCATCAAATTTCTCTTCTTAACAGATTTCTACCGCATTTTTCCACTTTTCGATACTTTGTTAAACTTTGATGGAAAAATAAAAGGGATATTTATCAACATTTTTTTTGAAGTAGGGGTGTTTGTCAACATACTCTTTCCAGGTTGGTCCTAACATTTTATGGAACTTAGGTCAATTAAAAAAATTTGGCTTCTCTTATAATTATTTTTAAAAAAAGAGCAATATCACTTAATGAATTAAAATGATTGAGTGTTGATGGAAATAATACGTGGTTCGGCGGCCCACATATTCCAACTATTTACGAAGAACGATCAATTGAGAATATTTCTTTATCGATGCTTCTGCTACTCTTATACAAGGAAGTGTTCATACAACGTAACAAATAGGGGGGGGATTCTCACTCATACTCCCCTTGTTAATATGCCTTGAATCTGTAATGTTTGCCGCTACGCAAATGAGGAAACAATATGCTATGTTATTGTATTGACCTCTAATTATTGTATTGGGTCTAGCTTGTCTTGTGTGCCTATTAATATCGTGGTAGGGCACAAAAACTTTGTACTCTATCATAATACAATCCGTCATCGTTCTTCCTTGTGGACGTAGCCAACACAACGTTGGTGAACCACATTAAATTTGTGTCTTTACGTTTTCTGTTTGCTTCAATCTATTCCATAATAACAAACTCGAATCGGAGCTCCTGGTTTATTTTTTATCAGGGTTTTGAATTCCACAAAAAACATCCGTGGTGTTGAATCCTAATTAATCATGATAAAAATAAATTGTTAATTGCAAATATAATTAAATGAGGCAATCAACTAAATATTCACTTTTCTATAGTGAATCCTATATATATATGTAAAAGAGAGTTCAAACCTTGTAGTGGAGACATGTGGCATATGACATGGCAAAATTCTTTATCCACATAGCATAGTGTCATCATTTTATTGGTCCAAATGGCATTCATTAGTTTATATAAAACCTTTTCATATTCTAATTATTATATTAATATGTCTTTCATCAATTCAAAATATATTTTAATATCTTATAATTAATTAATTACTTTTTAAAAGGTTATATAAAATTTATTAAATTTTTTAAAAGACAGCTCTTTGTATAAATTTTTACACCATTTCCTTTTTATTCCATTTTAAAAATATAGATTTATATGAAATATAGTATATTTGCGTCATTATTAAAATTATAATCTTATTTTAAAACAATTGCATATGCATTATTTAAAATTCTATTTCATTTCTTATATCGTTATTCATTGTATCTACTATTAAAAATATCATATTTAGTTGTTAAAATATATATGTATATGCACATACCAAAAATAAAATATATATTGTTATATTCAATGGCTAATGCTTTTGCATATATAAACCTTTTCATTTTTTTAGTATTATATAAATATTCATTTAACGAGTTTAAAATTCAAAAAAGTTAAGCTTTCAAACTATTCACCATTTTTTTACTTTTCAAAAACAACAATTATATAAATTTTAGAGCAGGGAAATCATTGTTAAAATGCAAATTTTATTTCAAAAAATATTGTATCTAATAGTCTTGCTACTACAGATATCATATCCAAATTTTAAAAAAAACAAATTAAAATGCATATCATATTATTATTAAAAAATTAAAATAAATTAAATTAAATTTTAATTCATATCATGTTTATATATTAATTGAACTTTTAACAGACATACAAAATGTTAACATAAAATATCTATGTTAACATATAGATATATTTTATAGAAAAATATGCGAGCCCGTGCGAAGCACGGGGTAAAAACTAGTATATACGTATGACACACTACTACAAAAACGAACAAATAAATCGCTCTATTTACATCAGTTAGCGGACTAAACGATTTAATAGTTCAAAAAATTTGGCAACCGTTTAGTATTTAAATCAGTTATACCTAATAACTAGTGCAAAATTGCATCGGTTATTAGGTATAACTGATGTAAAAGAAGCTGTTAAATCTAGTCTCTGGTGCGTTATCCTAACGCGATAAAAAAGAACCTCCAGCTTCGCCACCGCTGCTCTAGAGGGTTTTTTTATCGCGTAAGGATAACGTCGTCTCCATCCTTGTCGTCGCCGGTCACCGCCCCCTAGTGTCGATGCCGCCACCCTTTCGTCGCCATCTCTTCCATCACCGTGCGCTGCTGCTGCTTGAGTCTCGCACTCTCGCCTCACCGTGCCTCTACCCTTCCTGCTAGCGTGCGTCGTAGTTGTCGTCGCCGCCATCTGGAAGAAGTTTACCCGGTTGTTGCCATCTGCCATCGTTGGTCGCTGCCGCAATCCCTTCACATTTTAAGGTATTTTTTTAATTTTTCACTTTTAATATTTAATTATACTGTTATTTATTTATAAATTTTTGTATTAGGTGAATATTTTTTCTCCAAATGATAAATATAGTTTTAAATTTATTTCAATGTATTTTCTTTAATTACTATATTTATTTTGTGTTTATGTTTTAGTTGAAATGTGACATTGTGATCGATATAGATTGTATTTGAAATATAGATTGTTTAATTACTTTTAGTTTCATGCTAATGATCAGAGATGTTATAATATAGAAATAATATATATATATATATATGTGTGTGTGTGTGTGTATGTGTGTGTGTTTATATATATATATATATATATATATATATATATATATATATATATATATATATATATACTCCCTCCGTCCATAAATAAACTTTACGTTTACTATTCACAGGGTCAAACTTTATTCACTTTGTTGGCCTATTTTCGTCACCCATTTGATAAAATAATATAGTCATGTCACCTCTAGTTTTGTAGATCTTTTGATATAGTTTTTTAATATGTAATTTTTATTTTTCAATTCTACACCATTTTTCATTTAAAATAATTTGAAAATAACTTTAGTCAAACATCGTAACGCGCAATGTAAAGTTTATTTGTGGACGGAGGGTGTGTGTGTGTGTGTCTATATATATATATATATATATATATATATATATATATATATATATATATATATATATAGCTCCCAATTTGGAGTTCTTTTTTAAATGTTTCTCTCACTTAGATAGTGAATTTATTTCTTTTTCTTTATTCTATCATTTTTTGGTTTGACGTTTCCTAAATGTGTTCTTCAGGTGCATATGTAACTATATTACATCGTGCACTTGGAGAACGATTGGAAAATGCTGCCGCAATTTTGATAAATCAAAGAAAATGAAATACATTTACTAGTGAGAGTGCTATTTCAAGAATGGGTTAGAATGAAGTAAAGACAGCAAGAACCATTTCTGTAATGAAGAAGTGTTGCTATATTTTTGTTACATCATAAGAAATAAGATATGTGAAATTTGCACTAAATAGGACTAAAATATAATGACTTTCCTAATGTAGGACTTAAACTTTTTTATTCTCTAAATATGACTTAATAATGATCTCGTGGGAGGAATAATGTCCAGTAATGCTAGACATTTACTTCAATAATGACTACTTGTTAATGACCAAAAGTCCTACATTGGGAAATAAAAACATGTGGTCCTATATTGGGAAAGTCGTTATGTTTTAGTCCTATTTAGGTAAATTTCTCATAAGATATTGTTAGCGTGAATAATGCATAGACAACAGGAACACAACCAAGAACGAGATGATGAAGTACATTTGTCAATTATTGTTCCACGCATGTACAATAGGCTCCCTATCATCTCAAATAAATTCAAATACATTTGAATAATGAGATGATAATTTGGGTGAAGAAATGAGTCCTAAAAAAATTTTGTGTGTCAAACGATGTACGAGAAAAAATATTTTAAAAGATATTTTCCTTACAAAAAAATTTTTTATATATAAAAAAAGTTTAAGGAAAATTTTGACACACACTTTGTAACTGAATCAAAAGAGATTTTTTTGGACAGATAAAGTTTTACTTTTTGACTGAGTCAATAAAAATATTTTTATGTGTTACCCTCAAAAAATAGTTTATTTTGAGAAAAAAAAATATTTTGTCATCCTTACAAAATTTCCTACGACTCAAATAAATAAAAAATTTTCAGAAACCTTCACTTCACTTCTACAAATGCGTAGGGATTGGACGTTGTTTAACCAATTTGTATTTCTTGATATGCTTCTTTGCTTTCTTGAAATAATGAATAAGTTGGTTGTCGATGTGTTTGTCATTTATCAAAACCTGAAAAATAAAAACATAAACAAATATCTAAAGCGGTTTGAACTCATGTCCAACACATAATAGTTTTTCAAAATCATTTATTTTAATTGGAAAAATAATGTAATAAAAATGAGGTTATATATTTTTTTCTTATTACTCATTTTTAGTGTATGAAACTATAGTTTCAAATAAGTTTTTAATGATATCACATAGTTATTTTATATTTTTTATCAAAAGTGTTACATATTTAATTTTTTATAGCATTCAGAATGTTATTAAATATATCTAAAATGTAATTAAAAAAAGAAAAATAAGATCCTAAGATGTTTGATATTTTAGTCCTCTATATTTTCTAGTTCAAAATACAAGCTAAGTTATATTATGAAATTAAATATTATGATAATAAATCTCACAATTCGTTAGATCAACCCGAACCAACAATACAAAACCATGAACCTGTAATTTCAACCTGAAATCAAATTTACCCTAATTCGATATAAAATTAAATTCAGAGTGATCAACCCCGAACTAGACTTAACCTATTTATTTGACATGTCTAGGAAATTGTTCTCTCCAGCTTATTTTTATTATTTACTATTTTACTTTTATTAAAATCAGATCAGATAAAAAACAAACATTTTTAGGTATAACAACAATCACATACTATCTTCATCCATGAATATTTGTTCAGTTTTGATTTTTTTTGTCAACTATTTTTAACATTTGACTATAATTAAATAAAATATATATTGTATATTAATTAGATAAAAAAATATTTTGAAAATATTTATTATAATAAATATATTAAAACCATTTTTATATAAATATCAAGTATCATTTGTATTTAATTTGATGTCAAAATATATAAATTTTGACCGAAAAAATCAAAATAAACAAAGACCAATAAAAGAGATAAACAACAAGGTCTAATCGTCCATGTTAACTTAAAGTGCGGGGAAGAGTTTCTGCCCGCAAAGCGATTCCAAAGCTGCAAGCCCACCGCCTCTTCTAATCCCTTCCCTCTGATCTATCTAAAAGCTCACATGTGTCTTTCATTTTGCCGATCTTCATCGCTAATTAACCTTCATTTTTGCATAACACACTCTCTCTCGCTTTGATTAGGGGTTAGCACTCCGATCCAAGCGCTTCGATCTTCAGATTCGGATCTTCCAATTTCTATCTGCGTTCTTGCAACCTTGAATTCGATGCCGAATTTGTACGTGAAGGCGTCGCCGCCGACGGATCTGAATCGAAACACGGAGTGGTTCACGTATCCGGGTGTGTGGTCCACCTACATCCTCATCCTTTTCTTCTCATGGCTAGTCGTCCTCTCCGTCTTCGGCTGCTCTCCTGGCATGGCCTGGACAATTGTCCACCTCTCTCATTTCATCGTAAGTGTATTGAATAATAAACAGTTTTAGAAATATTGTCTGGTTACCCGAGAATTGACGATTAAATTGATCTACTTCTCTCTTAATGCTTATTTTCCTGCAAGTGTTTGTGCTCCATGGTTTCAGTAGCTATGTATTTCGTTTAAGAATTGAATTTTCGAATAGAGGTTTGGAGGCTCGAGATTGAAGTGCGTGGATTTGATTTTTTTTCTGATTACGGCGTACTATATTGTAAAACTTATTTTGGCACCTTGTGATTCAACATAGACATCTGGTCTCTGAAATAGAACTTAAAACAGTTCCATATATGTGCTCTGAATAGTTGGTTGATTTATTCTGATGACGAAAAAGGGGATTCATTGGTTACTTGAATTCCCGGCTCTCGCAAATCACAGAGTACTTATATTTTATTGTCACATGCATGCCTTATCCACTAATCTCTTCCTTTAATATGTCTAGTAATGTGCACTTCATGCTATCTTTGAAATATGTGATCTTATGATTCTTATGGAAGGAGACAATATTTAATTCTCATTTCTTTTAGATTTTCACTGCTTTTGTTTGGTCTTTCTTGCAGATTACATATCACTTCTTTCACTGGAAGAAGGGAACACCTTTCGCAGATGACCAGGGTATTTACAACAGGTTGACATGGTGGGAACAGATAGACAATGGCAAACAGCTCACACGCAATAGAAAGTTTCTTACTGTAGTCCCTGTCGTACTGTGAGTATTGTCTTCACTGCTCTACTTTTTTGGCTGACTTCTGTGTTATGATGCCTATTGTCTGTCGTATAATGCCTCTCTCTCATAAGATGAAACAATGCAGATACTTGGAACTGTGGATGAACTGAATTGTTACTCAATTTTTTCCAATGAATTTATCTGGCGTAATTCTGCAGTTCTTTATCTTCTTGCATGCTTTAATCGATTTTATGCCTTCATGTTTGATGGCTTTGATCTTGTCTTATGCTGAACAAATGGGCAGGTAAAGATACTAATGAGGTGTTAAGAGTTTAGACTGTAGTAGTGTAGTGCATTGTTGGATAATGTGCCATGCACTGATGGGATGTTGTGGGATGCATAATCAGAAACAGTTGACAGAATATACTTTATTAGGGCCTTAGCTGATCAAGCCTCTCAATTGAACTCGCGTATGAGCTAACTTTATACAAGTATAGGAAGAACAAAGAATGCAAAGGAGTAAGAATCTATAACGAATGTTATGGTCTCTATATCTCTAGAGTACTCTTCATTTTTTCATTTTAGATGGCCCACGGGAATTCCAGAAGAAAGCCAGACATGGAGATAGACACAATTTGAATTGATGGAACCCACTGACTCTTGCTAAACTTAGTAGCCCGGTGCTTTTTCTAGATTTTTATTCTTTTTTATCTTCTTAAATTTAAATATGGCGAGCGCTATAAAAAGGCTTCATAAAGTAAGACATAAAACATTAGTTGTGCTTGTTGCCTTGTTAAGAAGCGGTCAATCGGTCACACCCCACATATTGGTAGTTTTGGCTTTTTGTTATATTCTCTAATCCTCTTTCCTTGTGCCTGTAAAAAATATGTAGTTGAATCTATTTGTTTATTACTCCGTAGTAGGTATTTCTTGACATAGTCTCTCTATCTTAATCTGTGAAGCAGATTCCAGTCAAGTATTGGATTTAAGACTGATAGGTTCTAGTGTTTTAGACTAAAAGTTAAGTGATATCAATTGTCTATTTGGTAAGGGTGGAATTTCACTGAAATAACTAAACTAGCTAAGAGTTTTCACTGAAAATGTGGTTGGAACTCCTGAATTATTTTAAACAAGACACGAGGCTTCCAGTGCTTATTGATAACATGACCCTAGGATTAAATTATTAAAGTTGTAAGGTAGTTAGGTTCCCTTGAGTTTCTTGCTCTTGCTCTGGGCACGTAAGAGTCTAGGGATTAGCTAGATATTGTGGGGCGTTTGCTTTGTGGCCCTTTATTTGTTTCTTGGAAGTGTTTGTTTCCTTCACAACTTCCTCGTATTTGTTTTTTTGTTTACCTTTACTTTCTTTTGTTGGACTTTCCTAATCAATATTTTTTGCCAATGCGAGATAGAGTTCTTCTTAGAAACAATCTATCTTCTATATGTAGGGGTATGATTTTGTACATCCATCTCCCAGACCCCACTTGTGGAGTTGTGGGACTGAGTAGGATGTTATATTTTAAATAGTATAGTATGGAATACTCCGGGTAAATACCTGTTTACTTCAACTTATTTTTATTACTTATTGCGTATTCTTATTGAAATTAGATCATACCAGATTAGATTAGAAACATCTTTAATTTTAACGAGAATGAGACCAGATAAATTCAAATAAGATTCAATCAGATTAGACAAAGAGAACAAACCCTAAGTATCATTAACTTTCTGTTGGTCATTTCAGCTAAAACATTTCTTCCGTACTAATGTTTCTCATAAAAATCGAACAGTCAATGAAGAGTTACTGAGTGGTAGAACATTTCTCTCACGAGTGATAGGGATAATTTAAGCTACCAAATGGGCACTAGAAGTGATGTAGAGTTTGCACAGTAAAATTGATAAGGGAAATTAAGTAACTGTTCAATACGACTTTCCTGATGCTTAAAGTTGAATGAACGTGGACATACATCATGCTCACATTCATTCCTTTTTAATTAATAATGTATTAAGAAAGTCAAAACGAATAGTTAAAAGAGAACGGAGGTAGTATCTGGTTACGTTCAAAGTGTTTTTTTTTTTACAAATTCTCAACAATAAGTGTCTAGTACCAGTTTCTTTCAGATAAAAAAATTACAGGAGAATAAATACAGTTGTCATTTGAATTCCCGAGCGTCAACATCTTTTTCTTCTATAGTTAATTTTTTTCTCTCTTGGTTGAACAGGTATTTAATAGCATCCCACACAACAGATTACCAACACCCGATGCTGTTTCTCAACACGGTGGCAGTTTTTGTACTGGTTGTCGCCAAGTTTCCGCACATGCACAAAGTTCGCATCTTTGGGATTAATGCAGATCAGTGAGTAACCCACCCGAATTCTGCTATTAAAAATTTATGATATCCGAAATTGTTCTCGCACTGCCGTGTTGATCATTTCAGTCTTCCAGAACAAAGTGAATATGCCCCCCATGTACATATGCGTGTTTAAACTGAGCAAGGGTCTGTAAAATTCAAAGGTTCTCTCGTGGGACGTTCTTTAAAAACGACTTCTACTTGTAGGCTTGTAGCTACCCAACTGTTGAAAGATTAAACTCCAACTATATGATAAATTTTAAGGTCAAACTCCAACTATATGATAAATTTTATGATAAGTTTTAAGGTCAAACTCCACAATCATACTCGTGACAATAGGGCAACTGATTTACAGATTAAAAATATGAAAATGTGTCACCAAGGCAAACAAAAAACAGAAAATTGATTCTCGCACACTACGGGTGCGCGCTCAAGTCTCCATCCCAATAGCTCGAGCGTTTCAACTACAATTATCAATTAAGAAGAAAGCACTAAAGATGCCCTCTTATAGAAGTCAACTATTCCAAAGCTCAGCCGCAATGCTTAATTGGTGTTATAGGATTCAATCAATTCAAAGTCTATGATATTCTTTACCGGCAATTTCAACGCTGATCAACTGACTTGTTTGTTTTCCCTTATTGAATCATCTTCATCTAATCAATTTAATGGTATGTCTTCTATCTCTTGTGAGCAGTTGATTGATAGTGGTGCTTCACATCATATGATGAGTACTTTTATTCATTTGTTTGATGTTGAGAATATTGCATGATGATTCTCGTGTTTAGGCAAACCAACGAGGAGGGTACTGTGTAATTTTTAGATTACAAGAGGTACTACATACTTTGAAATTACCATGTTGTCCGCATAGTACTCTAGCTATCCCAAAACGCTTAAAATCCGCGTAGGACTTTTGACGGTTTGACACAACTTGTAGTTTATCTCTAAATAGGCAAACGTTCTCCTCAGTCTTTCGGACGGTCGGGTGCCACAATCTTTAGCTCGGTAAATTCGGTCTAACAAACTAGGGTTCTACATTATCTCTCGTATTGTGCCTCATGCGGTGCCATATGAATACTAACCTAATAATTGTTGTTGTAAGTGAACTCCATCGATGGAAAGTATCACTACCAACTATCACCGAAATGAATAAGTTATGCTCATATCGTATCTCTTAAAATTCGGATCACTCTCTCAGACATGCCATCTGATTGAGGGTGCAATGCTGCACTGAACCTAATTTTTTTCAAAATTGATTCAATACATGTATTAGGTACTACATACATAGTTTTTTCAAAAGTGACACTATGAATTATTATTTTTTGATAATCATTGTAGTTTTTGTATTGAACTTTTCGTGGATATCTTTTTCAGAATGGGGGACTAGAAATTACTTTTGGGATAATCTGATAGATTTCTCCCCAAACTAACATTACCCGATATTACATTTTCTCGAAGCGACACTATATATTATTTTTCTGATAATACAGTACTACTTCCACCGTTTTGAGAAACAATTTCCATTTTGACTTTTAGCATAAATTTTCATGTATTTTATAATTGACTTTCAAATTTTTCTCTTGAACGTGATAAGTAAAAGTAGGACGTTATGTGCATATTAATAATGAATAGATGTGATGTGATAAATTTGGTAAGAATTGGTATGGAGAATTAGACTTTTAAAATGGAGGTGAAAGTACTTTAAGAGAAGAGTAAAATGTGAAACTGGAATTTTTTATGAAATGGGAAGAGTAATTTTTTTTAAAACAACACTCCTTCCGCTCCAATTTTGAATACAAATTAGGAATTACGAGGTAGAATCTCATGACTTTTGAAATCATTTTATTTACAATTTTATACATCAATAAGAAATAAAAATTACTTGGTCCGTCCCTGAGTGTTTGTCCACTTTTGACTTTTGGAATTGTTCATCTAAGCACTTTGACTTATCAAATTCTCTCAATGTGTAAGCCTAAAAATAGTCATGCGTGATCTTGTTTGATTCGTCTTAACATATACACCCTCCGTCCCAAAAAGTTTGTTACATTTAGAAAAAATTGCGTCCCGTAAAGTCCGTTACATTTCCATTAAAAAACCATTTTTACCCCTTACTTTTATCATACTCTACCTATCACATCATACCTTTTTTCTAATAATCTACCTATCACATCCTACTTTTACACATCACATTAAGGGTATTTTTGGAAAGTCAACACCAAAATATCCCTCCCTTAATTTCCCAAAAAGTCAAATCGTCCCATTCTTTTTGGGACGGAGGGAGTAGATTATTAATATATAATTTTTATAATTTTTTAATATACAAATTACAAGATAAAATGGATTAAAGAAGTGCATTGGATTGTGTGCAAAAATGAAAGTGGACAAACACTCAGGGACGGAGGGAGTACATATTATAAACTATGTCAAAAGTTCTACAAAACAAGAAGTCACAAGGAAATTTTATTTTATCAAATAATCAATGAAAATATACAAATAAACAAAAATTATCGAGATGAGAGAAAAAATAAAATTGCAATCAAAATTGGGACGAAGGGAGTACTATGAAGTTGTGAACTGTTACATTTTTAATACACGCACAAAAAATGTACTGTTATATTTTTCAACGCATAATTTTATTTTATTTTTTAAAAAATAGAATTTATCTTAATTAATGGGTCGTCCCCGAGGAATCAGGAATCCCACACAACACGGAGAAAATGTACTCTTGTGTCGTAATGAAGAAAAGTATATCAATAATTTTTAAAAAATAATTAGTACGGAGTATTATAGTATGAAGTTATAATAAGAATAAATAATTAATATTATAGTACGGGGTATAATATAATACCAAAAAATAAAATTTGGGCCCCCTCCAAAAATGGGCCCGTGCCAGGTGGCCACCTGCTCATGTCTTGAGGTGCCCTTAACCTTAAACAATCTCAACTTCTATTTCATTGCGCAAAATAGTTTTTTTTTCAAAAATCATTAGGTCACCATTACCTCTCTAACGGCAATCCAAAACACGTGCACAGAGAAGTAAAAATATAGGATTATTTTGCAATTTTAAAAGATAAGATTATTGGTGGATGATTTCATATAATTTTCACAGTTTATAAAGTCAAACTGAACCAATGAGAAAGTACTCCTTTCATCCGAGTGTATTCGTCCAATTTAACTTTTTTGAGTCAAAGTGGACGAACTTTAATAATCAATTACTCTTAAGTTGTGTTGTATATCAATACAATAAATTAAAATTTTAAAAGTTCTGAACAAGATAAATCTAATTAAATAATTTTTATACAAAAATACTTTAAGATTTTTATTTAATTGAGGTCTAAAGTTTGTCAAGTTTGGCACGAAAAAGTCAAATTGGACGAATGCACTAGGACGAAACTAGTTTATTTTTTGGAAAGAGACTAAAATATGAGTAAAACATTGAAAATGTATCAAAATAGGAGTTTCATGAATGATTTTATTCTCCAAAATAGGAGTTAAAATGCATTTATATTACTAATGATCATGACCATGTACATTGCGTAAAATGCATATGCGTAGTGTCACATTGCCACAGTGCCAACACCTATTTAGGCAATAAAAACATTGAATTTTTATTTTGATATTTTCTTTATTTTTTACTTTTTATGTTTTTTTGTGTAAAGAGTGAAACACTATTATTTAAAATAAAAGAATACTCCGGAGTCGGTATACAGTACAAGGCAAACCCCCGCCCCACTATCTTCTTCTGCTTTCTCTCTTGATAGTCCATTCACACATGACAGTGATGACACATAAAGCACCTTAGAACGTCCACAAACAAACCCTCCCAAACATTCCGTTTCCTGCTTTTTAACCCACTAGTGACCAAAAAAGCTGCTCTTCTCCTTCTTTTCAAGAAAAAAATTATTATTATTATTATTCTCCCCCATTAATTCTTCTACTTTGTACTACTACTTCCATCATCTAATCTAATCTCCCTCTTCATCCAATCCATGGATCTTGCTCAATGGCCTCATCAGGTACATATATATGGAGATAGATAGCTAGCTAAGCTATCTAGATCCATATCATATCATTATTATTAATTCATTTGTTGTTTAATTTCTTCTTTATTTGTTAAGTGATGAAAAAAGTTGATTTATAGATGAAGAAAAGTGATGGGTTTTTGTTAATGGATCCTTTTTCTTTTTTGTTAGAATGAAAAAAGTATAAAGCAAACAACTTTATCAGTTGATTTTTTGGGCTGTAGTGTTCTTTTTTTTCTTTCTTTCTAAAGTTTAATTTCCTCCTACTAATTATACCTTTCCTGAAATTATTCCATCTTCTGTGATTGATGTATGGAGTTGATGATGATGATGATGAAAAACTGCTTTTGTTTTGTCTCTAGGAGATAGTGGTGAAGCAAATGGAAGAAATAGTGCCAAAGAATCCCATTAATAATAATACACCATCAGGAAAGCAGCCATCTTCAACTACTAATTGTGGTGGTGCAACAATAGAGAGAAAGATTAGGCCACAAAAGGATGAGCCAGTGAACTGCCCAAGATGCAACTCCACCAACACCAAGTTCTGCTACTACAACAACTACAGCCTGTCACAGCCCAGGTATTTCTGCAAGACCTGCCGCCGCTACTGGACCGAAGGCGGGTCTCTGAGGAATATTCCGGTGGGCGGCGGGTCAAGGAAGAACAGGCTCATCAGGTCTTCTTCTATTGACCACCACCACCACCAGGTTGTAGTGATGAATAACAATAGTAAGAAGATGAACCTGCCGCAGCAGCAGCAGTTCCCTTCTGCTGGAACTGCTGCTGCGGCAGATCTGATGCTGTCGTCGCGTCTCCCCCTCCCACTCCCACTCCCACTCCATCCAAACCCTAACAAGCCAACAACAACAACATCAATCCAACAAGATCTCAACTTGAGCTTCTCATCTCATCACCATCACCATCACCATCACCACCATCATCAAGACTTGAAGACCATAGCTGAGCTGATCCAAGTGCCAAACTACGAGCGCAACAATAGCGACAAGGAAGGGAACGATAACAACAACAACAACAATAATAATAATAATTCGTCGGCCGGTCAACTCTCAGCAATGGAGATGTTGAGTGTTGGGATGCCCACATCTTCACCATCTTCATCATCAGCAAGAGGGGGGATGATGATGATGAGCTCATTCCTCCCCATGCCAATTCCTGACCCTAATACTTCATCAGTCTACTCATCATCTTTCTCTCTCCCAGAATACAAGCCAACCCTAAACTTCTCATTCTCCTTGGATGGGATGAATGGGAATAATGATGAACATGGAGGGTATAATGGTCATCATCATCATCTTCTCCAAGGCATGCCGGAGACAAGTACTAGTGGAAGGCTTTTCTTCCCTTTTGAGGATTTGAAAAGTGGAAC